TTGAAAGTATGAAGGGACAGGTGTTTTTTCTTTTAATTACAAAATTACTGGCACCTGCCTTCCTGCTCTGCTGCCCTTTCACTGTTTGGAAAGAAAAAAACAACTTTTTTCCTTCTCTCTCCTGTTCTTCTCTCTTTTTTTCCCCCGTTTTTGCCATGCTCTTTGCCTTGCAACTACAAGCACATGGAAAATATGAAAATAAGAATTGCTTAGTGCCATGATTTAACAGAGGGTTGTTAGGATAGTATGGTCAGGTTGTGGTTGGACTTGATGATTTCTAAAGTCTCTTCCAACCTGAGCAATTCTATGATTCTATGACCCATACTCCTCCGTATTTCCCAGGCTTTAAGACATAAGAATGGTGACAGCCCTTAGTTTATCTTTGCTTTCTGTGCCACTAGCAAGAGCTTTCATCCCATCTTAAGAAGTATATTTCTTCTTACAATGGACAAATAAAAATACTTAAAACAAAGGAAAGCAGTGCTGCTCTATCAGCCAGTCATGCCTGGGAGGACTGAAGGCACCCAAGGGCCTTACAGTGAGGCATGCAGGAGCACTGAAGGGCTTTGGGCATCAGTGTGGCCATGCAGTGACTGGGTAGGGTCAGGTCCATGGCAGTTCTGTGCTGCTCCTGTCCCACATGGGCTGTTAGTCCCATCTGTTCACACTGGTACCTGAAGCAGTGGCTTTGCATTCTGGGGATGTTTCCATGTGTAAATAGAGGTAAAATGGCCTGCCTGTCGAGCTGCTGCTTTCAGGGTGGTGTGAAGCATGCTTTCTATTTTGTTCATTCAACAAACCAACCCCTTGGTGACAGCAGGTTGGAAATGAGCTACACCTCAGTGTCTGTGTGCTCTTGGAGCAGACTGGAACGGTTGGTCCTTGCTTCCCCAACTGGCTGGGAGCTCATCCCATGCTCAGTGCCAGACACAGCTGCAGCACCACTTTAGTAGGAACACAAGAGCTTTCCTGGTCTCCAGGGAGAGAGATTTCCCTGCTTCCAAGTGTTTGGGGGATGCATTCAAAAAAAAGCAAGTGCAAAGCAGTGAGTCAGGCAATAAAGGTGACGTCAGATGTAATCCAGAATGGAAGCTGCATGCTGGCTACTTGCCTTGCAGGATAATCTTTGCTCATAGAAGCAGATATATTAGATATTAGGAGAAATGTTCTCTCCAAAGAGCAGTCATGCACTGGCACAGGCTCCCTGGGGGAGTTGCAGAAAAGGGCAGATATTGCACTGAGGGATGTGGTTCAGTGGTGTGGTGGTGATTTACTGGTGGTCAGACTAGTTGAACTTAGTGGTCCTTCCAACCATAGCGATCCCAGGATTCTATGATTCCCCCCACATTTTTTTCTAAGGGGGAAATGCACCAAGCATGCAGTGGTGATTTATAGGACCACAGTCAGTTACGGACTGCCCTGGGGACAAGTGGGTCAATCCCAGTCCCAGGGGCTCAACAAAGAGCAAAGAACTGTCATGTGAGTCACTCTGTGGAAACTCGCTTGGAATAATGCCCTGAATGGGCAAATATACAGGTAACACATCATGCCAGCATTGCACTGCTGGTGAACAGCCAGGCTGTGTGCTTGTGTTCACTTCTAGGTCTTCCCAGCCCCAGGTCCTGCTGTATCTGATTCGTTGACCTGCTGTAAGGTCAGGTGAGGAATTGGCTGTCTTCTCCTCACAGAGCAGAGTGCTCGGCCTCTCGATCTGCTTCACACAGAGCCAAGCACGCTGCTGGGCACTGCAGTAATTAAGACATAATCATGGTATTAATCAAGTAAATAAGTACATGTTGACAGGTCATCAGGACCGCTGTGTCTCATGTCAGAGTTGTTTGTGGGGTCAGCACGGCCCAATGGCCAAATCCCTTCTGCTGTTGGGTAGCTCAGCGTGGCCGGGACTCTCTTGGCTGAGCAGCTCAGCACTCAGCAGGTCTCCAGTTGACACTGAGCCCATAGCAATGCCAACTCTGCCCACTGAAACCTCTTGGAATTGTTACTTCATGTGGTGGTGAAGAAAAAAATGACTTGATGTGCTAAATGATGACAAAAGGTTGCTTACTGTCAGCTTTCGTCTTAAGGCACTTGTGACTTTTCTCTCCAGGTGATAACATCGCATGTGGGCAGTTTCAAAACAGACACTGGGCTGCATAGGTAGAGAGGTTAAGTAAAAATTCTTGGTTAAGAAATTGCAACGTTGAGGGAAATACTCAGGGAAGGCAGTATTTGCACTGTAGTTACATTATAGTATTTGCAATATACTGCTATTAAACCTCAGCACTGATTGGAAAACGCATCTGATCTTGGGACCAGAGACAACCAGGGATGTTTTTTTTTTTTTTTCTGTGATCCTGTGTCAGAATACCCAACTTGTATAGAAGAACTAAACTGTTGTTACTTCAATTAACTTTCAATTAATCACAGTGATTAATTAAGTCAATTTATTAGGTAGGGATTGTTAATTGGTGGAGCGCACAGAGTGGGAAAGAAAGGGCAGAGAAGGCAGTGCAGCCTCCTTCTGGCAGAGCTGGAAGGCAAAAAAAAAAAAAAGACGACTTAAACACTTTCTGAGTATATATAAAATTTCTGTGTCGTAACAAAAAAATAAAATCCGAGTAACAAATGTGCAGCACTTTAATGTCAGAACTGACCGTCATTGGAGCTGTTCACAAGTAGTGTTGGACAATCTAAGTTGTACTTCATTTTCTAAGTATGATATATAACCATTAGGATAATTTAGAAAACACATCACCAGAACTTGGGCTGAGGGGGAAGGAAGGGAACATCTTTGGAAGGTCCAGGTGGGAGTTTTCAAGTGAACGCTATTCCAATACTTTGCGACAAACAGGGAGGAGTGAGGTCTGTTACACATCTTTCACAGCCTATATATAAACCAGCCTCAAGAGTATTTACCTGAACAGATATTTACAGGTTGTATTTTTTTTTTTCCTTTTAAGTATTCTTAAAAAAAGTAATATTTGATCTATGACACAATGGACGCCTCTACAGGGAAACATAGGCATAACAAAATATTCGAGAAGTCATAAAAGAGAACACGAGAGCAGTGTTTGGCCTCAGTAAAACACACTTAGGATGACTGCGATGTATGGATACAGCTTTGCTCAAGAAAGGAGTTGTGCATATTTAAAGGTACTTACAAAGCTGGTCTCCTCCTTTTCTTGACATGGGTATGTTTCCTAACCAGATGAGTAGAAAATCATGGACACCATGCATTGCTAAGGGAAGGCTATGCCAATCTCTCTTATATGCTGCGATGAGGGGATAGTCTCTTCTAACCCCTATGGCTCATCAGTGACAATACATGTAGGTTTAAGCCTATGAGTGTTGAAGGGCAATTTAAAGGACGCCGTGTTGAATGAATTCATAGGATTCATCTCCTCTTCTTTGTCTGTCTGAGCAGATTTCTATACGCTTTCTATAGAACCGAAATGGTTTAAATTACTTCAGGTCTACAGCCATGCTGAAATGCTTCTCTTTTGGTTACAGTTGAACACTTAAAGCACAGATTACCATTGCATCCTTTTTGCTCGCTCACTTTAAGCCCCTCTGTGTGCACTGTGAAATGGTTGACTTTAAGCACCTCCGTTGGAAAATAATTACTGCGCCTCTAAATATCTCTGGGTGTGTGTGCAGTGCTTGCTTCCATACACCTCTGGGCAATCAGGTCATCCTCAAAAGGAGCTGGGTCTCCCAAAAGGACAGTGCGTGGCTCTGATGCAGCAGATATTTACCTGTGGGGCAGAGCTTGCCCCCACACCAAGGCCACATTTCAAAGCAGTGCTGGGATCCAACTGCTCGTGGCTGGCTGTGCACAGTGGCTGTGGTGCTCCCATGGCTTTGCACCATTTGTGAGCCAGAGCTGCTCCTGCCCTGATTACTTCACAGTAATGAATATAGAAAATTACAAAAAGCAACTAGAAAAGTTTTTATGTCTTACCGAATGGATCTGTATTTTTATGGGATCTGAAGTGGAATTTCTTGATGCCAGCTGTTGCATTCTTGGGTAATTCTGCTGGTTTTACATGAACTTCTTTGCTCATAACTAAAAGGCAATTGACTATAAACGAGCATACTGGAAATGGGGAGGAAGAAAACAAAGAATGGTTTGCCAGAATGTCTGAAAAGAAACAGGCAAGCAAAGGCTACAACTAGAAAACGAGTTTTCTGCTTAAAATATCCTCTCTCATTGTAGTTATTTTATGAAGAGCCTAGCAAATTCAGCACTACTAAATATTTGATGAGAGCAACCAGCAACTTCCAGAAGTGCTGCTGCCTCCTACGGGACTGACTATGATTGATTCTCTGCCCACTGAAGAGCAGATTTTGCATCCTGTGCCCAAGCTGACCATGCTCACAAGATGCTTAAGGACTAACACCTCCATTTTCTCTCTTTCTCTCTCTCTAACAAAATCTGACCCCTCCCAGTCCTTTCTGGCTTTTATGCACTCTAATGGCCTAGATATTTCATGCTGAATTTCTCCTATGCAATCTTATACGTATGTGTTAGAAGAGGCAGGGCTCGTAACATTGCTTTCAGTAGTACCAGGAGCAAAATGAAGCACCAAAGACAGCAAGCTGACAGTTACTATTTCTGTTGTGCCTCTTTCTGAAACCACATCCATGAATCCTCCCAAAGCCAACCTGCAGAGAAAATGGATCGGTTTTCATTAAATCTCTCTCCCAGGTCTCTGAGGTTTGAAAACTGCTCTCTGGTGGTTAACTTCCTTTGTCATCGTGTATTTTAGATGCAGACAGTGGGCAGGGCAGCTGGCGTGGTGGTGGGGGGGGAGAGAACGGGTGGTGTGAATATAACAAAAGGCCCTTCAGTATGCAAACTCAAAATCGGTTTTGTTCTACAGAGTCACTAGGTTTTGTGGCTTACGTGGTAGCTCAGTGGAGATATTTGCTTCCCAGCATTTTCTCATAACTGCAACTCATACCCCCAAATAAAAAAATATCCCTTCAAAACCACTTCCTATTAGCAGAGCATACCTTGTATTATAAAACTTGCAAGTAGACCAGCGTTGTACCATGAAGCCTATACAGAGTTGGTTTGTTTTTTCTTTTTTTCTTTTTTCTCCCAGTGTAAAAATATACAATGCTACTGCTCACTTGTTGCAGCATAAAGGTCCAACTGGTACTGTCTGCCAAAGGCTCTGCTGCTGCTGCCCCTTCATACCTCCCCAACCCAGACCACTGTGTTACCCCTCCTTATACCCGAAACCTCACAGCGTAACGTGTTTTGCCTCCCATTTATAACAAACAATGAATCTTTCGCTGGTGTGATGAGATACTGTCCAAACAACCCACTGTCTTTCATAATTCTGTTGTAGCTGCTCCAGGGCCAGTCTTTGGATGTGATAGGGTCCTTTAAATTCTTCAGTACATTCATTTTCCCTGTTGACAGCTCTACGAAAAGCACATCTGTTTGCAAATGTGAAGTCGCATATATATAGTACTGATTGCCTTCGGTGAAAGAGGGTTGAAATGTCAGATCGGATACGTGTATGTTTGTCTGTAAGTCGTAAATCAACTTGATTTCCCCCTGCACGGTCACAGTCTGGACCTGGATCCTGCCTCCATCCCCATCCGCGCTGACCAAGAAGCGCCCATCCGGTGAGATGTGCGGTGTGCCCAGCACGGCACCGTTGGTGCCAATGACAGCATCGCTGACGCTGTCGATGAGGAGCTGTGGGGCAGCAGCCCCCTGCTGGTCCCTGCACTGCACCAGGAAGTACCCCCCCAGGTGGGTGTAGGCCATGGTCTGCGGTGCACAGCTGTAATTCCTGAAGCTGATGGTCTTGATGTGGGTCACTGTTTCCAGGTCGATCTTGTGGACGGCGGGTTTTGATTTGTTATAAATGAAGCCAAACCTGAAAGAGAAAACATGACACTGAAGTCATCTCCAGAAACTCCGGGATAAGCTTGGAGGAAGAGGGAAGGCAGCAAAACTGGGAGTTTCTGCACTCTTTATTCTGTGTGCAATAATGCTGTCTGGCTTCAGCAAGAAATCTCTCCTGTTTCAGTACTCCTAAATGTGCTGCAAGGAGGAATTCAGCTACAATTAGCAACCTGATGCTGGAAGCTTGAGTGTGTGCTTGGCTAATGTTCTCCAATTCCACATCTCAGTAACAATGACATCAGAGCTTGGGGTACTCTGTAGGCAGGCACTAACAAGCTAAGCATTCAATCTGTTTCAGATTCAATCTGTTTCTCTGGGTGGAGAGCAGCTCTGACCTCTGCATGTAACTACTGAGTGACCCAACGTGCCCAGCCCTGCGTCCCAAACTGGAGCATCAGAGGGCAGAGCAGGTTATCCCAGCAACCTGGAAGGTAGGAGCACAACGAGCAAAGGTGGGCTGAAGAAAAGTGGCTTTGTTTTCTTACTCCAGAGAGGGCCGACAACAGTGAGCAGAGAATTAATGTTAGATGGATGTTGCAGCAAAGCTGACCTTTGCTGAAAACAAAAAAAAAAATAAGTCAGGAAAAGCCAGGAAAGGTTTCAGCTTAATTTGAGCAGAGCCCATGGAAGCAGCCTGTTGTGTTCCCCTGGATTCACAGGTCACTGGTACTGACTTGAAAAAGAAACTAATTTTACACTGAATCTCTTTTTGTCCATTCAGTGCAGAGGGAAGGAAATGAAGCGAGCACTTGGTTTTGCATCTTTTTCCTGAAAGATGTAAAACTGCTTTTCGGAACACGGAGGACTGTGCTTGCATGCAGATAATAGATATTTTGCTTAAAACACTGCATTTATTTTTTTATCCTTAATCCATCTGTCAATGAGACGCTCAGCCATGATTTCACATCGAAGGACTGAGCCAATGCAGTGTATGATCCCATGAAAATCACTGGGCTAAGCCTCTCATTTTTCCATTATGCTCACATCCATTAGAGACTTCACAAAATACTTGCAGTAGAGATTCGCAGTGCAGTGTGTGTGGGGAAATTGGATGTGGCACTTATGCTTCCCTTGAATGAATGCATTTTAAGTACACTTTTAAAAGATGCTTTTCCTTACTGTGTTCTTTCCTTGAGACTTGTTCAATTCTTGGCCAAATGCCTCAAGAAGTTTAAAAAAAAAACTTCTTATCACAAACTTTAATTTAAAAAAGTGGGTCAGGATGTATCTCGTGCATAGAGCTGCAGAAGAAGCTCAGTGCTCATGTGAGATCTACGATGCAAAATCTCACTGAGAACCTTGCACTTAAAGAGATTTTAATAGACAGTAACCTACCCTGGGAACTCAGACATGGATATGTTTCCAGATACCCATCTGAAATAACAGGCAGCCAAAATATATATGCAGGAACATTTGCATACAAATATTTTTGGGCTCTCAGAAGAGATTGCTTAAATATTCACCTTCCTGCGAAATGCTGGTATCACCATTTATTGTTTCTGAGTGGAGAATTTAGCACATGATCCCAGTAAGTCTCATTAGACTGTGAGCAATTATTTTTTTGTGCTGAAGGTGAGAGAGAACTGAGAAAGATCTGGCCCTGAACAAATGAAATAGGAAATTAGGCACAGCATTGTCTGCTTTGCATAGGGAAACCTATCTGCAATTGCCTATGTTTAATATTTCTCATGAAAAATCATCTGTTTGCAGCTGGCGAACTGTACTGAAGGGGAAAAAAAGCAACCAACAAACAAAACAAAAAAGCCTAGCACACAAAAGGAGTAAAAAAAATTAAATTATTCCACCTTCCTGTGTTTGAACCTGGACTGCACCTCCTTGTCCCCATCCATAAGATTTAGTAGCCATGCACCCCTGCAACAACTGTCACTTATAACAATGATTAAAAAGCAAACTGGAAAGAGGAGGTAGGGGAAAATGAAGAGTGACAGCCATGAAGTATGTCTTATTTTATGTTACAGCAAGCAAAGTTATTTATTTTGTATCACATTCAACCCCAAATCGTTTAAGTGTGACCATCCGTCCTCAGTGATCATTGCAGGGAACCTAAGCTTAATGTAAGGAGTTGATTATGATTTCTGGAGAGTTTAACTTAGTTAAACTGTACTGGTGACAGGAGATGATTAAGCAGTTGTTGTAATGTGGTAAGAGGAGTATAAATTGCTGTGAAGTTACCATCCATTCTGATTACTTTAATGGGAAGCTTCCTGTTCCTGCTGGGAAGCAGTCAGTATTACTCTAAGTTATTAGTATGTTAGTTATAAAATCTCATTAACCACTACATCACATTAACATTCAAAACTCATAGTTCGGAGAACTGATTTTCTTCTTTCTAATGTGCGCTGTATATCATTTTTTCTGCTCAAACCCTGCTCCTCCCAGACAAAGCCAAGATCTGAGCAAGCCGAGGTCTATAGAGGAAGAAGAGCCATGCTTTATGCCTCAAGCAGAACAAACCTTTACCATTAATGGCAATAAATCTTTGATCCAAAAAGTAGCTTCCAGGCAGGGAAGCCAGCCTTCCAACCACTGTGTTCCTGGTACCAACGCATCAGGGCAGTGCTGCACAGAAGCACAGCTGGCCAAGCCAAGGTTTGAACCCCCATGCTAGGGCCAAGGGAAGCCAAGATTTGTTCCTTGCTGTCTCACTGGCTTGCTGAATAACAGCTAACCAACACTCTCCATCATTTCTCCTTTTTTTTGTGCATGAATATGATAAGAGTATTTAGCTCAATCACACATTCATTCATTAACGTTTGTGAAGGGCTGTAAGGAGGTTTGGCAGGTCCCGCTAGCAGTGAGCAGCATGGCCCTCGTCGCTATTCATTAAGGTAATTTCCTTACCTAACGTGATTAATAATAAGATTTGTAGGTGGTATAAAGAAGTCATCCACTCCTTTGAACGGCGTGCGGATCACGTGCTGCTCCTCCCCTGCGCTCGCCTCCGCTATCACCTGCAATAAATACACAGGGCAGCAGTGACTGAGGCAGAAAGGTAAATACAGATTACACGGTCAAACACGGCACCTTGCCTTTTCCCAAGGATGCAGTAGACCCAAATTGATTAACGACTTCAAAATACCGTTTGGTGTAGCTGCCTTGAAAAAGTGGGCTAATAAATAGTATTTGAGGCTTGACATTTGTAAGGTAAGTACACAACTCTGCTTTCATAAGGCATTTATATTGCAAGAAAGAGCAGCCAGGCGGAGCTGAAATAGCACGACAGCACAAAAGCCACAATAATTTATTCCTCACTGTCTAAAATAAACATTTAGTTCATGGTCATATTTATTAATCTCACTTAGGTGCAGAGTGATAATTTAGCAGGCTGAAGGCTCAGCCACTAACTCACAGTGCTTAATTATCACTTTGAAGGAGAAGACCTGTCCATCCATCTGCCACACCGTGCAGGACTCGTGGGCTGTGACAAAGTCCCTTCTTCAGTTCCTCCCATTCTGTCCCCCAGCACCGAGACATTTCCACTACCACAGGGACTCCTCACCAGACGTAGAGGCAGCTTTCAATACCTAAAATGTTCTCAAACAGTTTGCTTGGCTAAAGATGACTTCAGTCCATTCATTAGGATACTCTGTTCACGCAATGTGCAACAGCAGTTGCTTTGAATTTATGGCCACATAATTCATCGAGGAAATGCTAAAGCCTTTCAAGGTTTAGTTCAGGCAGCTGTTCCAGCCATGCCATTTAGATTTCTTCCAATTAAGCTGCTCAAGAAAGATATCTGTTCTTGCACAGTGCTTTCTCAGGGCCACAGACAGCACTGCACGTTTCCTTCCCAGGAACCCATCACAGCCAAACAACAGCATCCCCTCAGTCAGCTTCGTGGGCTTCTGACATCCAAGAACTGGTGGAAATTTAGGTCAGCTTCCATGGTAGCATTTTTTGTTAAAGAACATTTGATTGCGTTTCTGCTGGTCTCATGAATAAACTTCACCAAATGAGCTGCTGGTCACCTTTTGGGAGAGACAGTGAGGAAAAAAACCCAAAAGAATCTGCTGGTGCGGATGCTGATCTCAGTCACCACACGTGTAACTGCACTTTACAACGATAACAGAAAGCACTATCAGAGCTGGAGCCTCATAACAAGTTTCCAGCTGTGCAGATGGTGTGTTCTTCTCAATAATCACATGCTTGAGACATCTCTCCTTTAATTACAGAAACCTCTCACAGCTGGATGGAGGAAATTAAGTCAGAGAGAGTAAAAATAGCCCATTTTGTCTCCTTATAACCTGCACAGCCCATTGCAGTCCCCAGGTGAGGTGAACTGGCATCAGTGCCTCAGAACCTTTTTTCCTTTTGCCTCCATTGTGTTGCTGGTGTCTTTTCCTGGAAATGCCTACAGTGCACCCCCTGCATGTGCTGTTTTCAGGTCAGAAAGCACAGAACCCCGTCCCCATGCCATCCTCACGCTGTCAGGGAATGCTTTCATGCAGCCCTAGAAGCAAATTTTGTGGTACAGAGAATATTCAGCCTTCTTCTGTGGGTCTGGTAAGGTTGAGCAGCAAGTGCTGGAAATTAACTACTGCAGGAAGGAACTTCTGCTTGGATCATATCTGGGCTGGTGTTAGTTTGTCATAGGACATACAGCAGCAGCAAAATGCCCAATTAGATGCCTGCACGTCTGTGCCATTGACATGAGATGAGCAAATCCTGCAGGGCCATGCAAAAAAAGGAAGCTAATTGGGATGGCCAAGCCCATGTGCACCGCCGTGCCCTGAAAACCCTCAGTGCTGCTGAGCACAGGCAGCAAAAAACAGAGTCACAGACATAAAATGTGTCCCTCAGGTCCTGCTTTGCTCTTTATGCCTCTTTCATGCCCTTGAGGGTTTTTTTTTTTCCTTTTTTTTTTTGGCTTCTTTTATTTTTTGGGGGGGGAGACGATGTGAAGCTGGAATTACAGAACACTATCGATGACTTCTCCTTTTTACTTCATCATACCCAGCTTTCAGAAGCACTGAGCAAACTACCTTCCCTTTTATGGATTTGCATTTTACTCTGAGAAGAATGCTATTGTGCCATCACCAATGGAAAAGAACAAAAGGAAGCTGAAGGCTTGTGAGAGGGAAGCAACGAAATAAACAGAGTTTAAGGAAAACAAGAAACAATTTAGTGCACAGGCAGAAAACGTGGACTCCCACATTAAAGGCTGTTAAATTACTTGCAAGCAGGCCACCATCCACCATGCTCAGCAATTTAACAGGACTCACCTGCAGTGTTGGTGACGATCGCCGCATATCACCCCAGCTCAGCACCCACACCTGGTCATGGGATTTGTCATAATGCAGTTTGGTTGGCAATGGGTCCACATCCACAGACTTAAAAAAAAAAAAATAAGAGAGGATACATGTTTACATAGTGACACAAATGTCCCTAGGCATAGGGTAGTTATAGTAGCTCACTGCTGACATTCCCATGCACCACTGCTACACTCATTTGTAAGCTTCGTACAGTTACCTTCAAATCAATCTGGGGATCAGCAGCAGCTCCAGCAATAGAAAAGCTGGCTGCTCAGCTCCGTTCTCTGGCTGCACATCTTGCTCTGTTCCTTGCAGCCAGCACCTCAGGAGTCAACTTCTGCCCCAGCCCAACCTGCATCAGCTCATTCTTCCTCACCTGCTCAGAATGGTGAAGGAGCACCATTTTACCAGGGTAGCTGCAAGCCCAACTGCAGACGCAGCCCTGAGATGATGACAAGCAGCTCATAAGGGATTCTCTTCCTGGCAGCATGGTTTCAGAATAACATAGTGTGGTCCCATGGGTGAAAATAACACAGGCACAGCATCACACAGAGCGATGTCAGATCCACTGAGCAGAAACCTACTTTTGTTTTCCCATAGCAAAGTCTTTTGCCATCAGTGAATAAGGAGTTCCCCTTGTAGGTACCTGCACGGCTTTCTGTGTCTGGATGTCGATGATCATTACTCTGTTCTGCTTAGGCTGTGTCACATAGATGTACTTGTCTCGGACACTGACTGCGGAGGCCCAGAGGCAGGACTGAGTGCCTTCCCCTTCCACTCTGGGACAGATCTCCTCCTGCAGAAACAAAAAGGAGGAAAAGAGGCTTAACATCTGCAAGTTCAGAGCCTGGAGCAGTATGAAGTTTGGCTTTGGAAATCACAGAAAACAATTCCACGGGGTTTGGGGACGGCTTTTTTTAAAATTATTATTTCCTTCCTTGGAAAATGTAAAATAATTACTCAGCATGGCACTGTGCTGCAGCCTGGCTCTGCCCCAGGACATCACGCAGCCGGACCTCTGGCAGACACACGCTGCATTTAAATGATGATGTTGTCTGTGGATCTGCATTTTGAAGGACACCCTGGTTTATCAAGACTAGCAGTGCTGTCAGCATTTATATTAACTACATCACAGCTTTATATTTTTTCATACGTTCTTCATTTTCAGCTCGGGAGAGCCTGTCCTGCGATGGCTGTGAACAAAGAATGGGAGCAAAGCAGGCAGGGTCCCATCAGATGTGGCTCTGACATAGAAACTTCCCCTGTTCCAAAGGAACCAAATCCGGATGCCCTGGACCAAACCCTGATCTCAGCTGCCTTGTGCCCTATCCTGTTGCAGATCTCTCTTTGAACCCTGTGCACAACCTGTACCAGCTTCCATGGGAGCACACTGGGACCCTAAGTAGGAAAAGCGACACGGGATCTCAGCAGAATCTTTTTTCCTTCTCCTGACTTCCCCTTCTGCTGAGATGCTTTATGGGAACAAGCATTTGTGTTGGACCCAGCTGTGATGTGGAAAGGATAAACCAAAGGGAACGTGTACAACAGCACAAGTGTTTGGTTTAAATCCTGTCAGCACAGCAGCCGGGTCACTTGAAATGATGGCACTGCCCCTAGGGGGGAAAGCAAATGGAGCAGCAAAGCTTGCTCAGAGAAAGAGGATGCAGAAACAAAAGCAGTGCCACCACCAAGTCTGTGTCAGAGGAATGAGTGGGAATACAGAGATCGCACCTGCAAGCAGCACAGCCCTGTCAAGAACTTGCTGGAGGCCACATGCAAGGGATGAAGTGATACTACAGCAAAGTATAGCACGCTGCAAAAGCACCAAACAGGCTCTGGACTGCCCTCCTCATCCTCAGCAGTGCTGAGAGCTCCTTGGCCACAGCCCCCACCCCACCAAGGAGAGCTCACCCCTGTTTTCTTCTACACTGCTTCGCTGCACTTCTAATAGCAAACAAAACTACTTTTAGTGTAGGAACCCTCTGAAAACTGCAGGATGATATCACTGTCCACATGGCAAACACTCAAGATGCTGAAAGGAAAAAAAAGCCAAACCTCCCCCTTCAGCATGGCAAAGGGCCCTGTGATATCTGCAGGAAATGCTGAAAGGTCTCTCTGTAAGGCAGCCAAATAATGGTGATAAAAATCCCTTTCATGCCCACCACTGTGCTGACATTCTCTCTCTAAGTGCCCTCTCTCTCTGCAGCGCTTTGCACGCCGTTTCTCCAGAACCACCCCTTCAACATTTACAGCTCTTTGCAAAGGAAACACAAGCTGTGTACACCCTTCTGTAGTAGCAGCTGAAGTGTGGGTTAATAATATTAAGTCCATGCCTAGGGCCAATCCTGGGCTGAGCATCGGTGGGTTTCCAGTAAGGTTTATAAATACATCAGTGGGAAAAAACCCAAACCCAAATCAACCACAAACGTATGAGACTTGGAAGAACACCAAATGCAGACTCACAAGAAGATGGTGACCCATGGCAGCATCGAGCTGAAAGCAAGGCTGAGCCATTTTCCTCAGAAGGAAACCACATGCTCAGTTTTCTCTGTTAACTGGGTCTTCCCATAAAACTAAGCAAAGGAGTGATTAAGAAAGCATCTCTTAAGTATATCCCCTAAGGAGGTGCAGTAGTTCATAGAATCATAGCATCACAGAATCACAAGGTTGGAAAGGACCTACAAGATCATCTAGCCCAACCATCCTCCCATTACCATTGATACCACAAGCACTAAGCCATATCTCACATCCAGACACCTCTTGAACACTGCCAGGGATGGCAACTCCACCACCTCCCTGCAGCCATTCCAGCACCTGACGACTCTCTGGGAGAAAAAGTTCTTCCTTACGTCTAACCCAAACCTCCTCTGGTACAACTTGCAGCCATTTCCTTGGGTCCTGTTTGTTGCCTGGGAGGATGTATTTCTGTGCAGTACACACACAGGTCACTGGGAACACTTGGCCTCCTCTCCACATCCCTCCCTGCCTCCCTGCTGTGCTTTAATCTGAGAAATTGATCCCACACTTCTCCCACGTGGAGGTCTCTTAATTTTCAAGAGCAGATGATGCACCCTGAGGATGCTGCGTGAAGCCCACCAAGGTCCAACCTTTGAGGCAACAACCACAACCACCTTTCAAGAGACTAAGAAACATTTCCCAGCTGTCAGCTGCAGGACTTACATAACTGGAGAAGATCCTCTCCTCGGGCCTGATGTGCCTCCGGATTTCACATTCGCTTGGCTGAAGGACTGTGATCCCATCATCAGAAAAGACATAGAACATATTCCCGACGCTCAGGCCTTGAATGGAAATAAAGCGAGAAAAGCAGAATTTTTTCTGTATGTATCCTCCCCAAACAAAATCTGCCTTACATAAAAGTCGGTCATTCGGATGCAGTCGGTGCATTCACAAAATCAAATTTCATGTCACAACAAGGGCTTCAAGGAGTGAAGAGGTACAGACACCTTCAAAAATGCATTGCCTTGGTGGCTGCAGCCCTGCACGAGTGTCACTGCTCAGCTCTGCACTGATGTCCACAGCAGGACGTGGTTCACACAGCCCCTGCACGACACTGCAACCAACTCAGACTGTGGCTTTGTTTGCCTATGAGTTCATTCAATAAAGGTTGCTTATAATTTGAGAACTGAGAGAGAAGTTTTAGCTGAAATTAGTCATAGGGTTGTCCTATTACAGTTAGCTTCTCATACCATGCAAAACGCACGTGCTTAAAGGCTGTGCACAAATACAAATATATCCTCTACTTCCTTAAACTCAACCATAGCCACCAAAACAAATACATTTTTGAAATCTTGCAAACTGTAATTCACAAATGTGGAGTACTTCAGCATCGCAATAGCACTCATTTATCCACAACAGGGGCATTCCAGGAGATCTGGGGAGCTGTCTGTCACTGCTTTGCTCTTAGGTCACGCTTTCTCATTTCTGTCATGCAGAAACGTCATGAAACACTGACAATTTAGTCCTTCAGCTACATGCAGTTGCAGGGATGTGCATCTTTAAGAAATGTTTGGGATCTTTTCCAACACTCAAGTTAGAAAGATCTGAGCATCATTTCTTTTCTTTTTTTTTTTCCTTTTTTTTTTTGGTACCACCACCAATAAATGTTTGCAATGACCACTGTCACCCCCAGTAATGTTGATAGTGTACTTATCTGCCAACAGCATGGTGTTAATTTGTAATTCCTTGTTAATTGTATTTTAAGCTTGGAGAAGTAAGTTCCCAGTTCTACGGATCTGAGCATCACAGTGCCTCCAGCTGGGCCTGTGGTGGCAGCTGCCTACCGAGTTTCTCACTTCTCAGAGGTGGGTTGCAGGATTAAGGCAAATCATCATAGCAAAACTTCACAGTATGAACGCACGTAATTTGGATAAATGTCTTTTTTGGAGAATTTCATTCAGTATAGATTTAGTGAGGCTAGGAGGGTTTTTTGTGTTAAAAAAAACCCTCTATTTGTGCCAAATAAGTGGCTTCAGAGTACAACTTCCCAGCATCGGGTGCTTGCTGTTTGGACAGTGTTGAAGCTGAGTCTCTCTACAACACAGCACAGAAACACCCCGGTTTGGGCATCGGGAGCTGGGAGCCTCAGATGCAATGCCACAAGAGGGATCATGCACAGAGAAAAAAGGCACTGAACTCCCATTGACAACTAAGTTACCTTATTGGCCGAGTGCTCATTTTATGAGTATAATGTTAAAGCATTTCACTGGGGTGTTTAGGACCAAAATCTGCGCTCGCAGCATGCACACAGCTCCCACCTGCTGCAATGGGATTTGAGTGAACACATCAGAGGGCAGAGCTTGGCCCCACCTGGAATGAGTGCACACACTTCCACGAGGAAAAGGTTTTAATCCTAACAAGTGGAAACAGGCAGGCAACAAACTATGATCACTGTGAAGATGCTCATCGTTATTTTCATGCACGATAGCAGCATGATTATCTGATGCTCCGGATAGAATGAGTGTGTATTTCAGAATTAAGGCCTTAATTTGTCACAGAATTACTTTTGTAATGATTTCACCTCAGTAGGCTTTGACTGGGCAAGTCCCACCGCTTACTTTGGAGTAAAACAAGTGCAAGTTTTCCTGGTGACTGGACACCATTTCCTAATGGCATTGAGGTACACTGAGGGTGCACCCTTGTCAGAGTTTATGGAATGAAATCAACATGCTTTTGCAGTCAGTAACCTTCACACTGATTTTTAAACAAAGCAAGCTTTTTGCTAGGCAAACGAAGCGTTCTGCTGCGAGTTTGAAAGGTATTGCCAAGTCTTGGTTGGGTACAAACATGAACAAGCCCATGGGAACCAGCAAAACACGTCCTCTGGGACACTTGCTGGCTGAAGAGGTGCCAACAACAAGAGCTTTCCTTATTGGAGGAACGGAGTTCCATCCAAGACGGGTGAATTTGTGACTGGGGAATACTCTCCTCTGATCCAATACGTGAATAATTCTCCTCAGTTTAATCTGAGCGCTTGGAAGTATTTTAGAACTTACATAAGGTAACTAAAAGGCTTTCAGCTTTTTAAGTGCATGCTTTTATATAACTGATGGCTGCCTGCTGCCACGATAGGCTCCCGTTATCCAACAATAAAGCAAGCAACACTCACTGTGAAAACAAAGGCTGGCAGGAAAACAAATCTCTACTTTACAAATGGGCTACTCGTAGCTTTTTATGTACAAAAACTAAGAACTTACTTGCATGTTGAATAAATATTGCATGAGCTTCCAGTCTCATGTTTAACTGGCAGGTCGTGCTATGCGCACTCGCTGCTGGAGCTTTCCTTGTGTGTGGACTATGAAGGGTGTTGAGGACAGACTGACTTGAAGTGACAAACTACTTGTGATACAGCTCTGACTTGCAGCAAAAGCTTGCTCTATGCAGTGCCCTGACTGGGATCTTCCTAAGGGCTTTAGCTGACACGGGCATCGCACCGTGAGGATGCAATCATTTAAAGGGAGCTCAAGTCTACCAATCCATCTGTTAATACTTCCCCTTTCTTACACAGACACTTTCATTTTAGCAGAATTGTCAGAATATGTTAAAATGCAAAAACTGAGACACCATTTCTCTCTCTAGGCTTGCTCTGTGCCACATTTCACGTGCTCAATTCCATTCAGTGGATTCTTTGCCTGGAATGGAGGCACTGGACGAATACTATAGAATGTAGCTGGGAATAAACCTCCTTTAAAGATGCTGAATTGCTTAAGAACATCAGCAGCAAATCTGCTCTCAATGCCTGTGTCTTCCCTATGAACTGCTCATAGTTTGTTAAAACTGAGCAAGGTTGATAAGCATTAAGTCCAAACCGTTAAGTAAAGTTATATTAAGACTTTTTGCACCTAACTTGTTAGTTTTCTTTAAGCATTACTATGCTTCTACATCTGATAGGGTTATCCAACTACTTTCTTTAAAAAGGAGCAGGAGGGACGATTAGATGCACTAAAGATTTAACTTCTAAGCAGAAGGGAAACTGCAGTTCTTAGTGCCTGGAATGCCATTTTAAGGACCACTGGCAGTACGAAGGCAATCTTTGTGGCCACGCATCGGCACCTGCAGGTGGCACATTTGGGGATAAAAACTGGAGAACTGTTTCATATGGTCTCCAGCTGGCTGCACTGGGTGGGTGCACATACCTGCACTATCAGTAGGAGCTCAGGTGCACCCTGGGGCAGCGCTGGTCACTGAGGGCTGGCACTTTCCTTCTGCTCCCAAAACCATTTGAGCAAATCAGAGAGCTCCAAACCAACGCACGGAGCACAGCTCTCATTTGGCCAGATATTCCTTATGAAATGTCTCCAAAGCCCTTTCCTAAGCAATCACCTGAATAGAGGGGTGTTAGCAGCAGGCAGCTCTGCTGTGCACAGACCTCCATGGGGCTGGAAGGGCTGCAAGGTCCTGGCTTCCCCACGTGCACGTGGCAGACCTAAGAAGCAGCTTATGCCTGCACTCCTTGGCAATGCAAGAGCCTCCTCCCTGCAGGATGCCCACCGTGGGCATCTCACTGTGTGTTTTAGAAACATTCACAGTACTAGTGCATACAAAAATCAAATCAGCTCTGACTTCAGGTGCCTCCACAGTATATTTGAGTCAATTAGCTGTTTAGGATGCTTTACCTCTCATTTAGCTTCCAAGGTACGCAGATGTTGACCTTGTGCAGGGTACACTATAAATTTAATCAAACCAAAGATCTTAACTGCCAATTAAAACAAGGAGAAACGGGGCAACCTTTACCCTGCATCGATTTAAAGGACAGAGGGAAGTAAAACTTGAGGGATTTTTTTCTGCTTAACAGACAAGAACACCATTTTGTTGCTCACCTAGTAAACATCAATACGTGCTACTGAGGAGAAAGGGCTTGAATTGTTTGCTTGCAAATGCAGCGTATTGAATTTATGCCTTACTTGGTCGATTATGGTAATTTGGGAGCACTTCTGACACCTGCATAATTGTTAATGCAGCTTGAGAATCTCAGGCTACTTGCTTTGGTGGCAGTTTATATAAAATCCACATTTTTATGTATTTTACTTTTATCTATTATTATTTCGCGGTGAGAAAACATAAGAAGCTATCAGCAGGATTGATATTGCTGGAGCAATACCTCTCAATTGAATACTTCAGCTTTTAAACTTCTGCTCTGTACGTAATCTGGTAACTGCAAACGTTGGCAGAGTTAGTGGCAGGTCAGTGGAGAATGGCCCATCATGGAATTACTAAAGCAGACAAGCACATTATCACTACGACAAAAGAACTTTACTGCAGTACCTTCCTCTCGCCACAGTATGTTTGCAACTGCAGCATCAGAAAATTGGGGAAGCCAGAAAATAATCAAGAAAAAGAAAAAAAACAACAAAGCAACGTCAAATTTTTCATTGTAGCAAGTAACCGGATTAATATTCACGTTTAAATGAACTGTTTAACTTGTGAAAAGTCCGAAACATTCATCCCAACACAGCAAACCATCAGGTGCTTATTTCAAAACACATCTGCTCTGCTTAGAGGCAATTCTGAAGCTACGACATGGGCAAAATCCTCGCTGATAGGAAGATACCTTCAGCCTGTGCAAAGATGAAAGTCTTACAGAACTGAAGATGCCATCTCCAAATGTAATTGGAGGTGTGGTACAGGCTGTGACTTTCATACAGTTCCAGTGAGCACACATGATATCTTTCAGAAGCCGGAGATGGGCAGTTATGGCAGCTACATGCTTTGCAGCATTTCTTCTCTGAATTTCATGTGAGAGCTGCATTTTCTTTTAGGATTCAGACCCTACATCTATATTTGAATTTCTATTTAGGATACATCCAATTATTTCTCAACATACTGTAATTTTCCTTGCTCAAGTATTCATGATATTAACAAGAGTACATAAATCTGTTTAATGAGGAAAGGAATATATTTCCCGAAGAATTGCCACGAGAATGCATATTTATGGCCAACTTCTGTATTACCAGCCAGAAAACAGCAAAAATCACATTTGCACCTCGACTTTTAGTATCACCAAGAACCCAGGCAATCTCCCAGGTAGTTAAGGCAGCAGAATTAGGAAGGCTCAGACCTCTGTGAGCTTTTCCACAGGGACAACTAATCACCTCCTACATTAATTGTGTTCTGGGGACAGCACAGACAAGGCAACAGTGCCACACTCCAGTGGGAGATACGCAGCTAGAAGTTGCTGCGAGAACATTTATCTCTGAAGTGGAGGATAATTTCATGCCAAGGGAAACCTATTTTGCTAGTTAGAGATGTAAATAAAGCCAAAATAAATGATCCAATCAGAGCATCTCTCAAGCATCTGAATATTTGAGAAATTCAACTTGGAACTAGCTGAAAAAGTCTTGTACAGAAAACAAACAAACAAAAAATGTATTTCTGAAACTGTATCTTGTTCCACAAAATATTACATTTTGGATTCTTTGATATCTAAAAATACTGCCAGTTCATTACGTCAGTGAGGTTGTTACCCATACCAGCACAATTCTGGCACATGAAAGGCATCGCTGTCCTGCACAAGTGGTTTTACCTTCCCCACACAATTCCTTCTCAAAACCAGAACCAATCCTTACGACTCAGAGCCCCACGTAATGCATGCAATGGATTAAATTATTAAACTGCATTTGTGTCATCTCACTTTAAATACACTTTAGAGAAAGAAATACGTGGTAAATGAAGCTTACGGGTCTTTCTTGCGGAATCTTCTATGAAAAGCGAAGATATGTCCTCATCCACTCCCACCTCATTCTTAGCAATGCAGGTATAGGCACCAGTGTCTTCATACCGAACGCTGCTGATGTGGAGCTCACTCCCGTTTGCTGCAAGAGAGAGACCCATGAGCAGAGCTCCTGATCGCTGCTATCCAGCTCCATCACAGCCTGGTGCTCCCACTACATCAGCAGGGGCTTTGGGGGGATTCTTATGAGAGTTAACGTGTTGCTTCTTTCCATCAGCACATACAAACTTGGTGCCAGAAATGAACAAAAGAAAATCCCGAGGTTAGCCAGTAAGTTAAAGGTATGACTTGTTAAATGTTAGTTGGTTCAGTGGAAAAACAAAATTAACACACTGACTTTGCAAATGGTTTTTCACCACATCACCAAAACGTTGGGTTTGGGAGAGGTCTCTCTAAACTCCTCCCATCATTTTGATTGCCCAAGCGGGATCATTATCCAAAACCTTTGGAAGATTTTGAGATGCTGCACCCAAGACAAGGGTAGCTGTGCTGCCAGTGCTGGTGGAGGGGTGCAATGCATCGTGGCACAGTCAGGGCAGCAAGGGGCTGTTTTTCAATAGTTTTGCAATGCACAAACAAATACGATTGATTTTCATTGTGTCTGTTACATCCTTATTTGCAATGTAGGGACCAAAAGAAGGTGGCAGAGAGAAGGCACAAACAAACCATGTAATGCCTTGGACCCAAGCAATTTAATGCACTGTTCCTCTGATGTGCAAAGACACACACAGGAGGAAAGGCAGCGGAGAATCAGGAGCAGTGTCTTTTAACAGAGCACTGTTACCACTTACATCAATCAATACTGTATTTCCCTGAGAAATTCACCAGAGAAAAAGATAAAAAGGAAGAACAGGGGCTTTGTAACACCATTTTCAACAGCTGTGGCTTAGCAAAAGCATGAGAATTTCCAGCTTAAAGTGCAAAATAATCCTCCTTAATCCCCATCTACAATACTTTAATTAATCACAATTCCTTACCTAGGAGCGTGAGCTGTTTGGATAGTTTTGGCACGATATCCATGCCGTTCTTCAGCCAGGTAATGCGGGGATTAGGGATGCCTTCAGCATGGCACTTGAGGCTGGCCGACACCCCGGGTTCCTGCGCCTGTGTCTCAGGGTAGACGCGGATCACCGGCGGCACTGCGGGGACACGGAACGGAGATGCTGAGCTCAGCTACCAGCCCACGACTCTCAGCTCAAAGCTACAGCCCAACTCGGAGCAGAACACAGGAAATAATAGAAGAGAACAAACTCATAAAGCAACGCCAGGGAACAACTTGGATAACGGATGTGGTGTTCTGGTGTTTGGGCCACTCTGGCTTGCCTTCGTTAAGCGACTGATTGAACTTGGGTGAAGTTGGATTAACACTTAAGGAAGGCACTCAGACATTGAGAAATTAAAGTTTAAATTCTATTGAATCCTTTTAAGGGAGGAATTCAGGCCCTGCCCGTTGTTTTCCGATTAGATAGATCACAATTCAACATTTTAAATAAATATGCATAAGAAAATGGCCTACATATTTACTACCTGTTATTCGAAGCAAATAAAGTGTTCATAACTTACTTTTCTGAGAGGCTTTCAAACTGTGACTTACCTTGTTTCAGGAAGCCACCTCTGAGCCATTTAATACACTAAATTGGCAGAACGACCAATTATATTACCATTTCAGACAAGCCCATCGATTTTCAATCATGCTGCTTTATTGCTCAAACCAACCAGACTTAATACTTCCCATTAACTATTTCTTAACAATATTCTCACATTCTCTGCACAGTGCTCCTCCTGGCATTCCCAGGGCACGCACGTTCAAAAATTAAACTTATTAGAACTTTTCAATGATAACATTTTTGGGAGAACAAAGGGGCCAGAACCATCCCAGTTAGCAGCACTGATGGCACGGGAAGGGTGGTACTGGGCTGCTCTGCTCCATAATCAAGTGGTCAGCTTTGAGCCAGACAGGAATTGCTGGGACTCAACACGCACCTGTAGGAAGTTGTTCTCTTTTCTTTTGTAAAGCCATCCTCAGAATCACACCTGGATGCACCATGTGGGTCTGGGAAATCCAGGAGCCCAACTCAAGGAAAATGAGCCACTCGTGCCAAGGTCAGCAGGGGCTGACAGAGGGTCAAGGAGAACGTGTGAGTGTGGATGGAGGGCATTGCAAAGCACAAATGAGTCAGTAAAAAACTTCCACTGGAAAATATTGGCTTAAAGTACCCAACTCCCTGCTGTGCTTTTACACAGTCCATCGTCAGCCTACAGGACTGACAAAATTAAACGCGCTCAACAGTTGCTTTAGAATAAAACGAGATCTGTGTTTGCAGCACGCTATATATCCATACATCCATCTGGGGATAGTTTGAATAATTATGCTCACTAGCACACACTTTACATCTTTCTATTTCTATTTTTTTATGAGCCTTACCAGAGAGACGTATTTTACCCCTGTCTAACCTACCAGCTGCTTAAAAAAGCACTGAGTCATCAGCTCTGGTTAATACTTGGAATGAAATCAGCCATGACAGAAAGCCCTCCAGTCTACTTGTTTTTATAGCTTTAAAAGAGAGAGATTGTTCAAGTGTAATCTGAGAGGAAACGCCTGGAGGCAACTGGGAAACAAAAAAAAAATGAGGACATTTAGCAAAGGTATATCTTTAAATCCCGCTTCTGCGCTGGCCAGGTGGACTTATTTCCTTTTCTTCCACTTCCTTTGCTTACAATGAAAAGGAAACGTGGCTCTAAGGAGCACAGCAGTCAGCACAGCACTGCATGAGAGCTTTTTAATCAGGAGGATACCAAAAAGTCAAGACTTTTTTTTTTTTAAATTGGGTATGCAGTTTTTAAATAAAAGCACTCGCTGTTCTGTTTTGGTTGGGTTTTTTTCCTTTACCTTCTCTTTCTGCCATTACTGTCAGGACTGATGCTCCGCCTGACTTCAGGAGATGCCCAATGGAGTGGGAAAAGAGCAGAGAAAGCTCTGCAGCTGGAAGAGCTGGAGCTGCTCTGTGCATCAATATGAGATACAGCATCCACGTGGTTTGGGTGAGTAAGACAGGGTCGGGAGCTTCTGATTCCTGCTGTAGCTTGGAAAGTTCATTTCCGTTTCTATGAGCAAATATCTCTAGCTACAGTAAGAAACTCATTTCCATCCACTTTGACAGAACTGCACAAAGGTCCTGCAGCCAATGCCTGTTTCACGTGAGATCTGTTTGCTACTAAGAGCATTTGTAGAACTAAATTTAGGTCCAATGAAAGCCTACATAATTTACTGAGGTTCAGAGATGAATCACAGAATCACCAAGGTTAGAAAACACCTCCATGATCATCCAGTCCAGCCATCCACCTACCACCACCATTTCCCCATCACAGCACACCCCTCAGTACAACAAGCAGGTGGTTTTGTAGTCTAGAAAAAACCTCATTAAAAAGAACATCACAAGACTCAAGCCAGTGAGATTCCCAAACCCCAGTGAAGCCAGCAGGTGCTCAGTGTTCCAGAGAGCTTCCCCAGCTCTCTGGAAGGAACTCATCGCACAATGTAGCTCAGGGCTCCCAGACACTGCATCAACATTCTGTCTGGAAACTACCTGAACTTGAAATTACAGCGAGGTGTGCATCTTTTCAATAGTGATTACTAAGGAGACTGCTTGTTTTCACCTTGCAAAAAAATGCGTTGCACCTCTGTTCTTGCTTTCTTATCGTTCTCCTGCTCCTTTCATTTTAAAACTTTTTATTTCTCCTCACTTGTCTTGCATAATTCATTGCACAGGTAAATTACTGCATGCAACTGCCTTGTGATAACAGCAAACTGCAGAATGCATTTTTATTGTCCTTGTTACAAATTAATACATTCCAAGTAAGCACATTTTACTTTAAACTTGCAAAGATTTCAGCTCCAGACTTTGGAATATATGGATTACCCTTTGCTATTTCCCTTGGTGAACATATATCATTACTAACCATTACTGTGCCTGCAGCCAAAGGCAATATAAAAAGGCTATTATCTTAAGCAAAGTTGAAAGAAAAAAAAAAAAAGAGGCACTCAAACAAGTAGGAGATTAGGTAGGTTGCCTACTACTGCATACTGAATAGTCCCTTCCTTACAGTTCCTTACAGTAAAACAACTCAGGTGATAAAGCACATGATGGGTACAGATAGCACTATCAAGCCCTAAAGACATACATTGCTGCTGCAGCACCTATATACTGCAGTGGTTATTTAAATTAATACATTAATCATTCATTTCAGATGGCTTAATCCTCCTATTTACGATTTGAAAGGAGTTTGCAGCCTTATGTATTTTCTCTTGAAATGCCACATTAAGAAAACCTGTTTTAAGACATCTCTGTTATTTGAAAACTTGTCCTGTCGGACATTGGGCTGAAGATTGAATTGTTTTTTTTTCCAACCAGTTTCAAGGAATACAATATTCTGATTTATGCTGATGTTTTGCAGAGCGCAAGGACCAAGGAAAATGATGCCCCACACTCAGCAGTCTCTTGATTTGCAAACTATCAATTTTCATAGTTGATTACAATTTTATGAGATTCTTTATCCTCACCAACTCTTTTTTCCCCTCTCGAAAGTGATAAATGGCCTTTCTTCCCTACAGTCGGTGCATGCTGAACACATTTCCCAAGCAATATCCATACACAGGAGAGAACATAATTTTCCTACTGTTCTTCACTTTTCCTGATCAAAGTCACAGCAGCCAAGATGAATTTTTCACTCTTAAACTCATGGCTGCTTTTCAATGGGTTTATTTTTTCCACAGACACGAAGGGTCACATCTATAAATGCACTGAGTGACACCTTATAACTGCTGGGAATCCTAAGGTCAGTGAGCCCACCCTAAAGATACCCCAACCACACGTCACACGTGTGCTTTGTGCCCCTTGCCCAGAAAAGACCACCCAATGCTTTGTGCCATCCATGTGCTGGGCTTCATGTTTTCTGCTTAGCAGAGCTCTCACCTCGGTTTGTCCACAGGAGCCCCTGGGTCTGTCCGTGTTATTTATGGGATCCAGGAAGAGCTGAGCAAGTCCTGATGAATATTGCACACGAAGCACTGCTTCCTGCAGCCCTGCGCTAAAAGTTCTGATAAATATTTCAGTGGGTTTGCTCAGTTGTTTGCACAGGAGCACCAGGACAGTATTGTTTGGATACCTGCCCAGGCAGGTACTTCAGAGGCCCAACAACTGCATATTTCACCTGATTCTACATACTTCGATGTGGATACAAGGGAAGCATTGCATGGCGTTCAGCAAAACCAATTTTTTTCCCCCCCTTCAGGTAGGTCAGAAAAAAAACCAAAACAGAGCATGCAAAGATGGTGTACATGGCTGGGATCGGATTGTTTTAAGGAAAAAAAAAGGTAATAAAAGGAAAAGACCTTGTAAGTTGAAGCTCTGAGCCTCAGCAATGAGCCAGACAGTACAAAAAGGATCAGAGGACATTGGGAGAGGGACTGCACCTCCCAAAGGCACTGAATCAACTGAAACCAGCCCAAAGCAGCTGCCTGCCTGCACAGACACAGAGCTTGGCAAGGACTGGGGATAAACCCGCTGCTTCCAAGTGGTTCTTCTTTCCCTACTTATTCCCCATAGAGAAACTTGGAGTTTTCTCTATTTCAAATGAAAGAAAAAAAAAAAAATTGGGCTATTTTTTGTAGAATAGAACAGAACAAAACAAAAACTAAATCCAAACTGTCTGTTTGATGTTAGAAGTGTATTATCCCCTCCCTGGGGGAGGCAGGCAAGCAGATATATCCCAGTTCTGGCTGACTTACTGCTGTCACATCCCCTTACAGCTTTAGTCCAATACAGAACAGCAGCAGCAAAAAGTCCACACTGAGGATGGAGCTTTTAGTCTGATACAGACAGACAGAGTCAGTCCCCAGTGCTGAACAGAGACAATGAACTATACTTAGATTCTCTACATCTTCACTCAGTTCAGCTCAGCTTTTCCCCTCTTCTCCTGTCAGGAGAAATTCCTCAATTTGTCCTTTATGGCTCTAAAAAGCAAGAAGGATTTCTGAGATGTGCTCAGCCTCGGGATGTGTCTGAGGGTGAGCAGCGTTGTGCTGCCATCAGCCCTGCAGCCCCACCATCAGCAGCTGCAGAAGCAATGACACCAGCAGGAGAGGGGGAAATTTGAGGATGCAGGCAGCCACACTGACTGCAAAATCCTGGTTCTGCATAGCCTGGTGATTCCTCTGGGAATACCATGTGCTCCAAAACAAAGTATTTTCATCCAAAGTGTTTTCATAGAATCATTCAGGTTGGAGGAGACTTCTAAGATCACCACATCCAACCCCAGCCCACCCCTATTACCAAGTATCACCTCCCCCCTTCTGGAATAACTTCAGGGACAGTGACTCCCTACTCCCTGGGCAGCTGTGCCAGTGCCTGACTGCTCTTTGGAGAAGAAATTTTCCCTCAATCCCAAGCTGAACCTGCCCTGGCACAACGTAAGGCCATCCCCTCTCATCCTATCGCTGTTACCCAAGAGCAGAGGCTGGCTCCCACCTCACTACAACCTCCTTTCTGTAGCCGTAGTTTTCTAGCGAGCCTGGGCTGACAGCAGAATGCATGGCATTTTTCTGCAGTGTTTAACAACCGTGTAGCAACACTGAAAATACAACATATAATATTATAATAATAATATAATTATTCCTTTTTTTTTTTTGTATCATTGAGTTCTTGCACTCATAAGAAAACCCACATGCAGCCACGCTATGAAACTTCCACTTAAAAAGCAAACGTGGAATTCAAGCCAAGCAGCAGGCACAAACACTGCAGCTCTGAAACATGAGCACAGCCCTCCCTGCACTCCCCTCAGCTTTCCTCCCATTCTGGTTTTAGTTTCAAAGCATTTGGGCCTTAAATTCTCAGTGATGATAAAGACTACATTGTCGCCTGCCAACTAAACTCCATTCAGGCCTCATAATATATCACATAATATAACGGGATTAAGTTGTTAGCATGCTTTCCTTTCAGCTGCCATTCGTCAAACAAATAGCACTTTGAGGAAGGAAACCTATTTTCCCAGCTGCAGCACACACAATCTAGTTATCCATATTGCCGAGATTTCGCAGTTTACTCTCTCAAAAGATGACAAATTATTATGGGGAAACATTAAGTCTGTTTTCATTCAAATCAAGCGGATGCTCCGCGCTCTTCCCCAGGCACTCGCTATGGGTGGAGATGGCCGAAGACCTGAGCTGCAGCCAAACCTACACCCAACATCGGAGCACTCCTCTTCGTGCTGTTTCCCTTTCCATCAGCCTCTGTTAAGTGGGTGTAGCTTATCAACAGGTGAGAGCAGATAACTCTCTTTGGCAGAGATCTGTGCGCACCTATAGAAGTAACTAAACAATCATTTTCCTTGTAAAGGATCTACTGTAACAAAGCTGCTGATTCAATAAATTCATAGCAAAATGCAGAAAATTTGAAATAAAGATGGGATTAGATTTATGTCAGCAGAGGTTTCAAGTTGGACAGTGATTTTGTTGATCCCTTGCACTCTCATTCTCACCCCAACAAAGAGTGGGGCAGTGACATCTGTATCCCACTCCCATGTGAACTGGACATAAAATGGGAACATGAATCACACCCAGAGGGCTGGATTACCTGAGGGATTGTATCACGTGGGTGCAGCACAGAGGGACCCTGCAGGCAGGGGCTGAAATGCATCCCTTGCTCTGTGCAAGGGGAAGGATGGGCATGAAACAAGCGCCCTGTGAAACACCCGTCTGAGTCAATGTCATTTTAAACTCAGCCCAGCTGAGTCTGAGCCCAGAGGAAAGATGGCAAATGTCTGAATGAAAGTCCCACCAGGCTCAAACATGGCCCAGGAGGTGGCTGAATGAGATGCTGGAATACGGCCCACATGGTTTTCTCGCTCGGAAAACCATTTGCCCTCATTTTGCAGCCCAGCGGGTTGTGCCTTCAGCTGATGTGAACAGCCCTCTGCTGAGCCAAGCTGGCTGCAGCCAGGTAATGACTGCTACACGTCATTTGGAAACACCGTGCTGTATTTATTTAAATATCCTTGCCTATTTCATGCAACAGAAATTATTCTCTGGAAAATGAAAGTATTGAAGCAACAAAAGCAGTCATTAGTCCAAGAGAGGCTCTGAAACACTGCTCTAAAACTCTCTGGAAACGCTACACAAATGGTAAAACAAGCTGTCAGTGCCAGGTACAGCCCAGCTAATGGCACACACGTCCCCCCGTGCTCCCTTTCTTTTCGATTGCCCGTGTGATAGCACAAGTGAGCCAACTGCTGGTGCCTTTGCTCTGCTACACAAAGCCAATTTGTTGCGTGGCTCTTCGCGTCTTTGTGCGAAGGAGATTAACCCGCAGCTTTGCTTACAGGAACATTTTCAGTGGGTTGTCACACATGCCATTTACTAACCATTCACCTGAAGGATGTGGGTCTGATACAGCTCTTCATAGCCGTAGGCATGACAGGTGTAATTGCCCATGTGAATAGTTGTTACCTTGGTGATGTAGAGGGAATCGTCTTCTCCAAAATCCTGTAGCAACAAAAGACAGGAAAGGCACCTTATTATTTAGTAAAAGTGTGTTACACACCGCGGGGAGGGAGGTGACCTGCTCAGCGGTTTGGAGAGCAGCACAGCTTGGGAACACAGCCTGAATTCCGAACAGCAAATTTCAGAGTTCATAAATCAATGTGAAGAAGAAAATGAGCAGCAATTTCAGAGTAAGGCAAAGTAACTCATCTGAGAATATGAACTTTTGTGCCGGTTGTTAACAAGGTGCTTTTTGCACATAAAAAAAAAAGAGATAGCAATCTCCAGCTGTTTAATTTATAGAGAAATTTAACATCTAGCCGTTAACCTCAGGTGCACAGCACACAACTTCGGGGTGGGTTGAGGCTTCCTTTAGCTGTGCTGGTCCTCAGGAAACACACGGTAACCTTGAGACTTGATGAGGAAGAGCTGAGGCTGTTTGTCAGCTCTCAGACCACATCCCAGGCAGAAGACAGGGAAAAAGACAAAGGCTTTCTTTCAGAGAAACTTCCTTGGAGTCAGCCTGCCTTCATCTATAACTGGCTGACAAATATCCTTCTTTTTATCCCCTCCCTTTCCCACATCTGCTGTCACGCTGCAATGTTTGGCTGTCAGCAGGGTGCAGGTCTGTTACTAGGGAGGTTTGGGCACTGAATGTTTTGCATAACTGCTCTGTTTAGGAATATATGTCAAATTACAGTTAACGGAACAGTAGCATCGATGGGTACACAAAGCAGCTTCTTTTGTTACTCTATTTACAGCCCCCAAAGTGTTTGTACCTTCACGGAAACTCAGAAGGATATACTTAAAGAACAGTTAATGAGCTTAAAGAATGATTTTCCCTTAATTAGCTCCATGCATGAAGCATGCTAAATTCAACTCCTCGCACAATTTCATCACAAAAGTGAGGTAAAAAGCAATTAATAATCAGGGTGGCATGAAACCAGCGCAACAGGGTGAGTGTTGGAGAGCTGGAATGGCAAAGTCACACTCCTTGTGCAATCCCTTCTGCTGCTCTTCCTCCCCACAGCCCAGCCCTGGGGCAGCAAAGGGAAGCGTGGAATCTTCCCTAATTTTTAGACATGCTACAAGGCAGAGCATGCAGGTGGCACAACGTTTGACAGAAATAACAGTGCTGCTTCTGCTCTCCACTGCCCATTGTGTGCTGCTGCTCTGACAGCACCATGGAGCACAAACACACACAGATCTGAACAACAACAAAGCCAAAGATGCCCCTGAAATCCGTTATCTGCAACCAAAAACATCTCAGATACGAGTGGTGCTTTGGGTGTCAGGCAGATTGGGCATCCAGCATCAGCAGGTTAAGCTACCCAATGCACCACAGATATATACACTGAAAATTTCCCATTTCCAGCATTTGCTTTCTGGCGAGCTACATCTTTCCTGCTGAAAAACAAAGGTGCAGGAATAACTGCAAATAGAAGAGCTATCAGCCCTGCTCAGATGATATTTGCACGAGATAGAGAAGACGCTTGCAGCAGAGGGGACTCAATAACAGTTTTTCAAGTTAAGCCCAAAGCAACTCAGATTGAGCTCAGGTCAATAAAAGCAGGACGACCACTTTTATGGAATGATTTATACGGAGTGGTAGAAATACAGTAGAATGCAATCTTTTCGGTTCTAAGCACATTGCTTCCTTTAAGATATCTCAGCAAAATATCGTGAATGCTCGGTTTGTGCTCTGTAATTGTCTTTTTATGGACAACCTGTTTTTTTTTCAATGCGTACAGATGTATTAACGTAATACATTTAATACAATAACTCTTTCAAAAAACAAACTGATGCCAGATTACAGGATTATTCTCTTCCTCTCCAAATGCATTTTCCTCATAAAGAGAAGCTTTTGTTGGTAAAAGCACAATTTATAGCGTTTAAAAACTATTTTCTGTCTTCCAGCACTTAAAAAAGGTCATCAAATACAATTGAGGCAATGCTGTACCCTTCCTGTCAGGCTCAGAAGGGAAATAATCTGCCCTACATTAGAGCTCACATGAGACCATAATGTTATCGAGAAGCCCAGGGTTAGGAGTGAGAAGGAAAACGGAATCACCAAATTTAGGTTCAATACTGAAACTTCTGTTGCTACAAAAAGAACACTGAATTCTGTAAGAAATCAGCGATTCTTCCCGTGTGCTTATTTATTGCAGCTCACAGTTTCTCCCTGTGTTTCCCTGTGGATATAATTAGTGCATGAAGATTTCACGGTTACATCTGATATATATGCACGCATTCTTATGCACAAACACTTTCTGTTTATATTCTGTTATATAAAGGTACAATTTTTCCAATAAAACTTCTCAAAAACCATTTACCATAAAATATCTTTAGACTCCAGTTCCGAGCTTGTTCCACCATCCATCCACCCTCCCACCCACCCCTCCATACAAACACGTTCAATGTCAGGTTTCTTGGGGAGAACTGGAGGGAAGAGGTTGAAAGAGGCAAAGGGAACGAGAAGAATTCATGCTTGAAAAAGGCAGAGGAAACATTTCTGTGTGCTTTGACTTTTTCAGATGGCTTTGGCTTGCAAAGCCAAGTTCCCAAGTCACCACGAACCTGAAAGCATTCAGAAGGAGCCATAAACATCTATAAAAATGATGTAACACAATTCTTCCCCTCTAAAGCCATCACACCTTTCAAGCAGAGCATCTCATGCTGCCCAAAGTCACGCTGCTGTGCAACCCTGGGAGCTGGGTCTGCCCTACAATTCCCCCACAATGCAGAAAGGCAAACTGCAGAGACATCTTTATGTACAGACCCACGACAAAGGATAAGCAAGCAGGAGAAAGGGAAGAAAGTCACTTCTGGGGCATAGTTACCCTCTGTTACTGCTGAAGCTGAATTTTCTTGTGAAGGGGAAGAAATAGAAGCGATGAAAATGTATGAGCAAGAGGCAGAAACCCTTCTAACAGCTACAGAGCAACAGGAAAGCTTGCAGGAAAGCGGTCAGGTAAGGACGAGGTGTTCTCACCTCCATTTTATGAATTTCATTATAAAATAATGTTATATGTTCCGGGTTAAAAACCAAAAAAAAAAAACCAGCAAGCTGTGCTTATAATTTCTCATAATTGATAAGGTCACCTAGTGACAGCTGACAAATGGACTCCCCCAGCAGTTCATCTCGTGTTCTTTCTCCCTTTTTGGAATCAAAGTTCTCTGCCCTCCATGAGCTTCTTTTACACTTGGCATCTACCCTTCAAACAAAGGGCTGATTAAGTGATCTCGGGATACATTTGAACTTTTCAAGATTAAAAGAAAACCACCACCCTGCATTTAAATTGATAACTGCTCAGTAATCTGAAAAACACAACCCAAGTCGCCACTGCGCACGCTCCATTTCAAAAAATAACAAAGCAGATCCAAGAAAACGGATTTGCTCTTTTCTGTACTGAATTTCCCTTCCATCACCACTGATTACCCAAGGCATCAATTCCTCCAAACAGAAGATTTTTCATATTTATTTACCCATTCCTCCTTTCTAATGCATTCCCTGGCCATGCAATCTGCTGCTGCTCGGAGACACGGTGCTTAGAAACGTGTAAAACATCACCTATTGCTTGTAAATCCAGCTCCCGTTCTGTCACAGGTGCCATGCATTATGGAGCTGGAATGCCACAAATCTCCAGCTCTGACACGGAGGGATGGAGGTGGCACAGTGCTGGGGCAGCCCACTGACACTGCGATGGCATCCACGTGCTTTCCTTTTCAGACAGCTTTCCAACAGGACTTGGGGTTGTTCCATCACTGAGGGGGAACGTACAGAAAAAGCTTTGAAATTTTGGCAAAAAGGAACTGTTTTCCAGAAGGTCTTATTTTAAAGAGCAATTAGCATATGGCAGATTCAGGGTTTGTTGTTGTTGTTGTTTTGTTTTTTTTTTTTTAAATCATAGAATGGCCTGCTTTGAAAAGGACCACAATATTCATCTTGCTTCAACCCCCTGCTATGTGCAGCATCACCAACCACCACATCAGGCTGCCCTGAGCCACATCCAGCCTGGCCTTGGAATAGAAGGCCAGAATAACTTCCATTTACTGGAGGAAAACAAACCCAAGCTAGTCTTAAACGGTTGGAAGGAACAAACCCAGATGAGCCCAAGGAAGCCTTCCTCACACAGCTCTGGTACCTCCTCCAGGCAAAGCCAGTCCTGGCACTGAGTCTTGCTGGTGTCACTGGTTTTCCACTAGGGGGAAATCAATGCCATCACACTTTCATAACAACCAACACAGAGACGAAAATTCAACTGTTCGCTTTAAAAAGCCTGCCTGATCCTCAGAGTCCTGGAAATCTCTCTCTGATAATGTTTACGGGATTTTAAAACAAAATGTACCCAAGCATTTAATGAGATTATTATTATGCAAAATCTCCAACAATGGCTATCACTCGAAAAGTGATTTCTCCACACTAATCAAACGTCTCTGATCTTTTTTTTTTTACAATAGACTCATGAGTGATTCATATAAAAATAATAAAAACTAAATTAGTCATGGCCTCTTAAATCACTTTCTTTGGTGCTCTTAATAATTCATTTCCAGAGACAAGCTGAGAACTTATGCTTCATTAATATTATTTGTTCTTGGTTTTACACACGGCATCTTACACTTTAGTACTCCGCATGGAGAAAAATTCAGCCTTAAGCAAATGCCAGAAAACTGTTGCAAACACAGCCCAGTGGGATATTAATTTATCTCTGCTCCTGTTTTGCTGCTTAAAGAATTTAGCACAACAGAAGACTTTGCTGGTGAGCCAGAAAAAGTTTTTTTCTTGAGTTATTTGGATACAGCCTTTTAAAATAACCGTACAATTATAGCACAGATAAAAATGGATGACTTTATATCCCGAGAAACCCAGAGAGATGATACGATGAGGAAAATCCATGGTGGGTCTTCCTGCTGGTGGAAGGGAGGGATGGCTCAGCGAAGTTTATCTATTAATCTGCCCATTTCAGAGCAAAGCAATGAGTCTGATCAAACAACAACCAACT